ATCACTGGTACAATTGGTTATAATAATAATCATTGAACCATTCGTGTTCTGTTGACAAAAGTAGGTCACTACAAGTCAATGAAGACAGTTTTATTGTCTAGTTGAACCAATTGCAGCATTAATGTAGAGTGCTTCATGGGTTCGTCGTATTCGAATATAAGTAATTCTTCAGCCAATACAGAAAAATATGAGATACAATGCCTGCATAAAACAAATAGTAGACATTGAAACCCTTATTGTAGTGTAAGGTTATAAATTGACCTCAAACTGCCTTTTATAGCTAGCAAAAGTCATGGTTTTGCATCACCATAAATAAGTTGTGCGTAAATTGAAGGTCCATAACATCTAGAAAATCATATTAATATCCCTTAATTTTCATCAATGACTGAATAGATATTTTTCAACCAGCCATCATTTGCACCAATCGCACCAAAATCTGGATATTAGTAAAAGGAGAGAGACTTTTCTAACCCCTATAAGAGCATCTACATACTAATCAAGTAAGAAAAATATAACTACCATAATTTTAACTTGTGTAAGTCCCTCTTCATGGAAGTTTCTTTTCTGCCGAATCCAGAGAGCTTAGACCCCAAGGGTTATAGACAGAGAACACATAAATTTTTCCATAGTCTGAAGATAACTTGCTTGCGTTGTCTAAAACGTGGCACCGCCTTACTTCGAAATTCACAAACTTGTAACACTACCTTTCCTCGTAAGGGATACAAATCTTCTACAACAGAAAGAGGGACTGGCGGCGACTTAGGTAATAAGAAAGGATTAGAAAACATATAAGGACAAACGTCGACACTAAATCTTCTGTTTCTTGGTGAAAGGAAACTACGAAGTGAACTGATATCGATACGTAATAGGCTAGGTGCTTTAATTCCGTCCAACAAAATATCCATCTGATCCTTACTAATGCTCACGAGGTAATGCCTGAAAAGTTGCATGCCACTTGTCAAACACTCAGCTAGGTTCAGACTTCTCACTACAATTCACACATATTAAGAAATGCTTCCCAACAAATGTGGCCACTGCCCTTTTGGAAGACAATTTCGATTAAAAGGCTAGGAAACTGCGTACTTGCCTAGGGTTGGTGGGCTTTCGACTAGTGTGTGTGCTCCTTGAGAAATTGACAAATATTCATGGATAAAACAATCACCATTTCTGGTAGTGCCGATAAAACCGTATTTTCACCTACTTTGCTTATCGTTAGTCCTGTTTATCTGTTATTAGTTCGCACAATTACATCATTTGTTACTTTTGATTATTGAATTTTGTTCCTTATTACTCATTTCGGCTTTATAGCTTTCATGTTGCGATCAGCCATTGAAAGTCAGTAAAACCTTGAAGTCGTAACGTAACACTAACCAGCTAACTCAATAAACATCCTCTTTACATTCTTTGGAGTCTAAATTCCGATCCGACATTATCTGGCTGACCTCTAACCAATAACTGAAAACATAGTTTCTACTGCTGAATTAGGGTGTTTAATTCATCCGTAGGACGCAAAAGTTATCCTTCCGATCCGACAGTAACCGCAATAATATTAAAACCAAATTCATACCAAGGTTAGAACACTCTGAGTTGCACCGACCTTAAGACATACACACGTGATTATTCGTGAACACAGGACTTGTGACAAAGTTACTAGAACGATGCAAGGGTGCTTGCCAGAACAGTTACATGTGTTGCAATTTCAGACTTTTGGAGGAAAAGCACCTATAGTACCTTGATCCGTCAATGGGGTATTCCACGTATAGTGCTGACCAGGAGGTGTGACTTCAACGCTAGCTGGTTCGTCACACCGCTCACGTCCAACTCGAGCAGGCCTCCAATCCCTTCGACATAGATCATCTACGTTGTTGACCTATACTCAACACACTCAATGCTGACTAGAGTGATGAGAGCAATCAGCGGGTGAAAATAGAAAGATGGCGAGGGATATTATTCAAACAGCTATCACTAAGCTGGAAATGTACGTGACAAGCTAAGCACATACTGTGCATTATAAGCAAAATGGAGGACCCAGTATATGTGGAAGAATTCTAAAGGTTTTGAATAACACTTCTTATTTGATCCTGAGAAACGGATGCAATTCTAAAGAACTAATAGACAGGAGAACTTTCCATACAAAGATAACTTAAATTTTTTCTTCCGCTAATGCACAAGAGAAGCTGATGAACTTGTAAAATACCTTGGGAGCGACGACGAGAAATCTTATCGTCTTATAAATGGCAAAAATATTCGGTGTCCATCTCGACACCCAACAAAACTGGGAGATTACAAATATCATACATACTACTATACTGAAACCAGGTGAAAGTTTAGGAAACGTCCACCTCGCTTGAAAGTTAATCCTGGATGAGCTGAAGTCGTTTCGACTGGAAAAGGTTTCATAATTTGATATCATCACAATGTTTCAGAGCAATGTAACACATTCATCAGAATACTGGCACGTTAAATATTTACATAGTACTTCAATCAAAACAACCTCAAAAGAGGGTTATCAACCTACAACTTACCACATCTTCTGAAAGGAGATAAAAGAAACCATTTTTAATAAAAGACCAGTAATATTACCCAAAATACTGTCCAAAGTGCTAGAAAAAACGAGCGATTAAGAAATGAGAAGGTGCTTAAACAAAAGCAGTGCCCTTTATGATGCGCAACGCGATTTCAGGAAAAGCAGGTTTAACGCGTACAATCTTTTCATAGCATGGGACATATGAACAAAATGCTGAAACCCGAAGTTTCTAGTTCAGGCACTCTTATTCGACTTTGCCTACGAGATTGGCATCGCAACACGCGTATGCCTAAATCGAAGATGCGATGACGGATTTCACTGATTAATTTTCAATTAGGCTCCGAAATCAATTTCAAAGCAGAATGTTCTGCATCAAGGTGGATCAAGAGGCCCATCTTATGTTCATTCCTCTCTCTGATTATTTATTAATGAAAGTGAACATTAAGTTCACTCAGCAGCACTAATCCTCACGGACGACACGAATACGTGGCGAGGAGGATTCATTCGAACTTCCAAATGACTTCTCAACAATAGAGGTAATCAATGGTAGACAGTGTATTAAGACTTAACCTGCTAAATTTCATGCCATCGACACTGCATTATTATAAACAAAAGACGTACACACTTACGAAATTCTTCTCGTAAGTGTATATTCCGGAGGTGTTAGGTTGAAAGCTCAACGAGTTCACTTAAATTTGCGAACGAGAACGAGATTCGATGACCAAGGACCAGTAAGCTAGCTAATAACGCGTCCCAGCCCCAGCTATCTAGAGGGAGAAGTTCAGGCTTAAAAAACGAAGTATATTCTACAACAACCAGAACGAGCGATTCCAACCAAAACAATTTAAAACATATATATATATATATATAATCGATATTGTCATAAAAATTTTTAAACTTTCATCAATAAGTACGTCAAATGACTGCTATTCAAATTTTTAAACATTTAATCGATACGTCAATCGATTGAATTTCAAATGTGAGTTTTTGGGGGATTTATCGGCGTGCAACGACAGAGAAGGCAGACACCAGCTAGACCAACACAGGGGTACTGCCAAAGTTACCGCAACTATCCACATCATGTGAAGACAAGGCTCAATCACCTCATAGTTGCATCTGATACTGGTAGAAACGCAGGCACGTCCTCACCTAGAAGTCCGAATTGTCTCATCAACCGTGCACCTCAAGACGCATAAAGCTCTCTGAACGAGTACATGAACGCGTAACTAAGTGGGTGATGGTGCTGGAGAATGAATCTAATGAAAACAGACTCTAGCCCTCAAGTTTAACACGACACTACGCATAATCGTTGAACAATCAATTGAATGGAAGTTTTCACGGTACATCAACTCCATTGACTATGAGGAAGCACTCGACAGGGTGGATAGCAGAACCCCATGGAACCCTCTCCGACAATTCGGTGTACCTGAGAAAACCGTCAACATCATACGAAATTCATAAGATGGACCACATTGCAAAGTAGCGCATGAAGGGCAGCCGACAGACTTATTCCGAGTGGAGATCAGTGTTAGACAAGGCTGATCACTCTCCCTCATTCCCTTTCTTCTGATGGCTGACTGGGTTACGAAGACCTCGACATCTGACGGGAAGTACGGAATACGATGTACAGCTCAGAATCAATTAGAAGATTTCGACTTCGCAGATGGCCTGGCCATTCTATCCCATACACATGAACAAGTGCAGATGATGACAACTAGTTAAACAGCAGCCTATACATCAGTGGGCCTCAACATACACCAAGGAAATAGCAAGACCTCCAAATATAACATGACAAACACCAAACCGATCACACTTGACGGAGAAGCTCTGGAAGATGCGGAATCTTTCACGTTCCTGGGCAGCATGATTGATAACTAAGTGGGATCTGATGCAGACGTAAAGAAAAGGATTGGTAAAGCAATTGCCTCATTTCCACATTTGAAGAACACATGGAATTCAAAACAACTGTCAGTCAACATCAAAGTAAGAATCTTCAATACGAATGCCAAGACAGTTCGACTGTGCAGAGCTGAAACTTGGAGAACTAATACAACTATCACCAAAAATGTACGAGTATCTCTAAACAATTGTTTACATAAGTTACTCAATGTCCGTTGACTGGAAACCATCAGCATCAGCCTACTGTTGGAGAGAACAAACCAGCTTCCAATTGAAAATGATGTTGGAAGTGGATAGGATATGCATTGTGAAATTCATAAACTGCATCACCAAGCGAGCACTAACTTGGAATCTTGAAGGGGAGAGGAAGAGAGGACGATCAAAGGACACACTGTACCTATAATTGGATGCAGACATCAGAAGAATGAACAGCATCTGGAAACAACTTGAAAGGACTGCGAAGGACAGTGTTGGGTGGAGTGCTGAAGAGCAACCTATGCTCCTTCACGAGGTGTAACATTCGCAAGTAAGTATACAAGCTAATGACAAATATTTTTTATACAGTCTCGTCACAGAAATATTGGATATTGGAAGGTCAAAGTTTACCGTATATATTATTTTGAATTGCGAACCGGCTTTCGCGTCAACACGTTAAACCAGTGAGTCCTGCTGGGTTTTCCAAATTGCATGGCTCTTTTGTCTTCATGTATTCATCATTATGCCATTTTCGCTTTTTAACATCAGCAAACTCGGAACACTTATTCGAATTCTACTTTGGTTTTTCAGAGATATATTTAGTAGTGATAGAAAGTTTTGAGATTTAACACTGTCAACTTAGTTCTAAAGAACGGTTTTCTGGGTTATTTTTGTCGTTTTGCGCTTTGTTCTAATATTTCATGCACTTTGTACGTCCCGAATCGGAAGACTGCAGATTTTAAACATTCGATCAACCTACATATCCAATAGTTTACAAACTTTCAAGCCATATATTCTGAATTCGTCAGGTCATAAAAATGTTGTCCCGCCGATCGTCATAATATTCGTTGAAACTACGAATGATGTGGGACAAACCAAAGACATTTCGTTGTGCTTATGAACGTGTCATCTTTATCTAAGCATTCAATATGCCATTATCCTATTATTTTCACTCTTCTTGATTCCCTTTTATTCATTGTATTTACTGCGCATAGGTTCATGGCATATCTAATTATGATTAAGTTTGTGTGGGTTTTCTTTTGTTGGTTTTTTGTTTTCTTTGCTGCGTTATAAGCTGACAGATTTCTGAAAACAGTTGTTTTCTTTGTAGTCAGGAAGTGACAGCCTGTACGTTTTAATTACGTGCATTTAAGTGGTTCAGATAAATAAACTTTCAGTCTTCATGGCCGTAGTAATCATGACGAAAATATTATTTTACATGAAATACAACGGTCATGATTTATCATATTGAATCCACTGAAGCTCGATTACTCCAAGCTTTCTCATTCAGCGATCCTTCGAACAATTAGAGGCAGTTTCTGCAACTGTCGCAGGCTTTTTAACTTGCACATTTTATGAACATGGACACTATGCATGCATCTCTGAAGACTACTTATTCAATAAACAAAATATTGATTTGCGCTTCTGGAGTCTTTAAATGTCTCATACATCATTTCAGTATGGCAATGAAACATACTGATTATCTTTGACGTGTGTCAAGTACTACAATTCAAAGTATGCGAAACAATGAAAGCTAAGATTAGGCCGGTTATCATGATTATATTGCTGTCTAACCAGGTGATATAACTTAAGCTTCTGAAAGTGCTACATGAACATTAACAATAAATCTATTACAAATATCGATAATCAGTTGACACATGAGTGTAAAATGACGAACGAGACTAAAATTCTCTTAACTTTCATCGTTTTTTCCGAAAAACGTTTATCAGGGAATGAAATTGTCATGAAATCGACAGTTATGAAGAAAAGATAAGTTTTCGGTGAAATTAATTATTTTTCTCAAGTTAACATAAATTAAGGGTTTTCGGCAAAATTAAGCAATCAAATAGATCAAGCAAACAATTATTTAGCTTTAAACTACTGGAAAATAATTCATATTTGACAATATGGATTCCATGTTTCATCCAATTTTCTCCTCTTGTTGTCAGCACCATACAAAATTTGCAGCTTGAAAATGTAAGTTAACACAACAGATACATATTATTTTAATCGTAGGCCTGAGTCAGTGATTGCTAACATTGAAAATGTCAAGAAAGTGACAGATCATATACAAAAATTAATAAATATTGTACCAGAAATCGGGATCATTTGTGGAAGTGGTCTGGGGAAGTTGGCTGATGGGGTAAAAGATAAAATCACAATTCCATACACAAAGATACCCAACTTCCCTCAAACGTCTGGTAAGTGATTGCATACATTCAATTAAAATTTGTAGTTGTTGGACACTCCGGAAACCTGATATTTGGAACTCTGAGCGGCCGAACAGTAGTCGTAATGCAAGGACGGTTTCACATGTACGAGGGATACACCAATGACACGGTAATACATTTGTGATGATTAATTATCTCGTTGCCATAGATCGCTCTTCCTATACGCGTGATGAAGCTATTGGGAGTCAAAATTCTTATGGTTAGTAATGCTGCTGGTGGTCTCAACAGAAGTCTCAAAATTGGTGACTTCGTGATCTTGAAAGACCATATTTATCTTCCCGGACTAGGATTAAATAATGTTCTTGTCGGACCGAATCAGGAGGAGTATGTTACATTGTGTTTAATTTCACTTCTGTAGATTTGGTCCTCGATTCCCAGCACTTTCGGATGCTTATAACAGTGACCTACGAAAACTAGCTATACAAGTAGCTGTAGAAAACGGCTTTGGGAATTTGGTTCATCAAGGTGTCTACGTGATGAATGGTGGACCCTGTTACGAAACACCTGCTGAAAACACGATGCTTCTTAACATGGGTTGTGATGTAGTCGGTAATTAGACAACAATTTATTTACTGAATTTAAATGACATTCAAACTGCATGCTTTTGAAACAGAATGTTACAGATGATTTCTTCAAGTGACAGCATACCTTTCGTACGCTAGCTTTAACTAGTTAGGCATCTTCTGTGTGATCAACGGATAACAGGTCATATGGAAATGTTTCAGCTCTATGCATTCTTAAGAGACATATCTAACATTGTGTTTGAGGCAGCCTCAGAACTGTATCGGTCTGATTGTGACCATTAACTTTGGTTTACTTTGTTCAAGATATTAAACCTCAGAAACTCATTAGAAATGAAACATGTATGACATGGAAACCAAAAAATATCAGAACAATGAACGATTGGTATTTCGTTTACATTAGGCAGATATTTAGTCTAAATCAAAGTACCTTACATGAGTAAAATACTTACTCAAATTTTCTCAACGAACATCAGTTCAAACGCGCAAAAATGCTAATCCAATAACTTTCGGTGAAACCTCCGAAGGTGATTGAAACCGGAACCTTGCATATTTCGATGTTCTGGAACAGTCCAGTATTTACTAAGCACTTGCATCTAGACAGCACCTGTCTGCAGTCAATTACTGTCCCATTAATCGATCAGGTAATGGGAATGCTTTGTGTTATCAGATTGAATCTGTTGAATGCTTTGAAGTAACATGCTCCTCACCCAGTTTTGTGAGAATAAGACGCAAGCGGCGTGTCTTCACTCCAGATTTCTGTATTGTTTATAAAATATACGGTAGATGCTCGTGTGATATTTGAGAGCATGTTCTTGGTTGACAGTTGGCCAATTTTACATGTAATTACTCTGGATCCAACCCGGACATGTTGTAGGTGTTTAATTAATCAGTGTTCGAATATTCGGCAAGTAATTAAATAATCATGTGAAAAACGTCGCTCAGTAATTACCTCACATCTTTGATCCGTGTTTTAGGTGGGACACATTCTCTTAATTCGAGGAAAACCAGCCAAACTCTCTCATTTTCGTCGATTTATCTAGAGAACCTTATGTCTATGTGTTAATGCTTATCTTCTCATTTATTACAGGTATGAGTACGATACCGGAAGTTGTAATTGCTCGGCACTGTGGAATTCAAGTGTTTGCTGTTTCACTAGTTACAAATATAAGTGTTCTGGATGTTGAAAGCAGTGTGAAGGCGAACCATGAAGAAGTCTTGGCCACGGGTGCTCAGCGTGCTGAATTGATGCAATCATGGTTTGAGAAGATAATTGAAAAACTGCCCAAAGATTGAAATGGACGTTACGCTTACTGTTTTGTGCAGTGAATTATACTTTGTGAAGAGTGTTTCCATCCTTGTACCCTCACTGGAATGGATATTTTAGCTTATAAAGTACTCTGTCTAAACAACGACTTTGTTTTGTCTGTCTTTAGTAAATTTCATATGTTAGAACCGAATTGTTGACTCCATCGTGGTGATGCGGTAGTGATGCCGTTGAAATATTTGTGCGGTTTAATTCGTTGACACATTGTGGATATCAAAAGTTGAATACGAATTTTATTTGCGATACGGACATTTTAAACATGTTGAAATTGAACGACAGACAAGGGATGAAAGATGTAGCGAATATATGAAGAATCGTTGTTTGGTAGTGCACTGACTCAACGAATAAGAAATACAGAGAGTGGATATACAAATAAATATTATCATGCGCATGAGCATGAAAAATGATTAGAGCCACAGTTGAACAAGTATAAACAGTAAATTTATAAGTGATGGAATAACTGATCTGATTAGACTCGTTATCTGTCAAAAGTCTGAATAAATTACGTAATCCTATAACAGTAGTAAATCCTGTTTAGATTTTCTTGTTTTGATTGTTAACATTTCGTCGACGATGAAATACAACTAGTAGTTTGAGTTGATCATTGCTGTATTGAGACCAATACAATTAAAATTAAAGTACTCAACTTTGTGTTATGTACAATCCCATGAGGAGAAAGCATTAGGTGTTAAAGCCCAAAGGAAAATCAGAGTCGCTATAAACACTTTATTAAGTGATGACCTTCAATAGTCTCTCACTAGCAGTAGTTATAGATAATTATCGCTCCAACAAACTCATGCAATAATGAAATTTACAGTTACGCACTGAAGACAGAATAGCATTACTAAACTATAATATGAGTGTGCTATCATATACTGTCTACTGGCTTAAATGCAAACCTAGAAATGGGACCACATTACATTGAACTTGGATGTAGCTGTTAAATTTTATGTATGATAAGAGATTATTTTTATGATTGAACGAAACAAAATAATGGAACTTGTGTTTTGCATTATTACAGGCTGTGATTTTAAATCATTCGTATGAATGAGAGTTTTGAAAACATTTGAACTTCCGTTTGCATTTCTCAACGAAATATTTTATTCGTTTTGTGTAAAACCATGTGATGCAAACAAAACAACATGTCGATGATTTGGAAATAACTAAAAACATAATCGATTGTCAAAACCAGTCTGAATGAAGGGGTTTCTGTTGAGATTGATGTAATTAGTGGGTTCTATTTGTCACCGATTGATCACAATGAGGGCATCATTGAAAGCTGATAAGTACTGAAAATCTATTTCGATTTATTGTGGGACTTCCAGAGAGTGGATCCATTTGACCCCGTAAGACATTCAACGCAGGACATGTGGATCGTTTGGGAAATGTTTTATGTAAACCACATCTTGAACACATCTCTTAAAAACACTTTCAACTAAAATAAAAGAACCAGTCTATTTACTAAACATTTCAAAATACTTTTGGAAATCCTCATAGCTGTCAATCCAGGCATAGTGACGGTGAAACTGCTGTTACCGATGACATGAAATGATCATCACATCATGTTGCGAATTGAGTGAAAATGAATAGTATCGTTAAACACTCTCCCAGTAGTTCTAATGGTCAGGGGTTTGATGCAAATTGCTGAAGAACTTATGTTCGACCCTACTATGAGTCGTAAGAGTTCAATGTTGATAAACACCATCATAGACGAAACGTTCGTTCAATGCTTCATTTGTTTCCACTAGCAATTCAAGTGAGATCAATTTGTGACGCATACAATCCACGAAAGTAGATTATTCGTGAGAAATACTATACATTACACTCCTTATCTAAACTATTGTGAATAATAGTGATAGACTATAATGGTTATGTTTCTACGATGAATTGGAAGTGCCTCGTTTTGTCAATGAAGAATGTTGTATAACACTGTGCATTTCATAAATAATTAGGGCCATCTATCCTTTTAAGTTAGTTAATATGCGAGAAATTTCTTTCATCATCCATGCAATTAGGAAGTAGTTGATTGGCCAAATCGAATTTTCTGGATAATTGCGACAGACAGCACACTGAATGGTGTATATTACTCGAGTTGTCAGTCTTTTAAATCATTCAATGGGTAGAAGGTGCTGATCTAAAATCAGTGCTGTAGTTATGTAAAATTTTTCGAACAGTTTAGTCAGACATATATTTGACAGTGAATGAGTTTACAAACAAATAGAATGAAAGAAGTAAAAATAACATATTTGTAATATCTCAATGAGTAGAAAAAATAGATTTTGTGACTATTCGTGACTCGTTGTAAGCCATTTCTTCGGGGAACAGAAGAATAGAAAGTATACGGTAGAAAAACTAAATTGCTTGGTCAAATGAGTGATCATAAAATAATGAATAATGACTCTCGTGTGAAGACAAATCCTGCTGAAACCACTTGACAGTCACTTCTGTTAAGTTCTCTACTCGAATACGCACGAAAAGACTCTATAACGGATGACACTCGAACGTTATAACCTCCAACCGCTCGCAAGTAAGAAGACGAAAGACGTTGTGAGCACTTATTGACAATCAAACATGCGTATTTCTACAAAATTATATATATAATCAATATTGTCATTTAAAAATTCTTAAACATTCATCAATAAGTTAGTCAATTGACTGCTATTCAAATACTTAACATCTGATCGATAAGTTAGTCGATAACTTAGTCAATCGACTATGTACGTGGGTGGCTTCTCGATGGCCATCCCAACACCTACCCCGAATAAGATTTCTTTCTAGGATCTATTTGTAGCTTGACAACTGGGTTGCGGTGGCGTCTCATTATTCTTGTCGTCTTTCTTATCCGAGGCTTCCCTTCAGTGTCCTTGGGCATATGTATCGTTGGTACGTCCAAGATTAACTCTAACGGGAAATTTGGCCGGTTATTTCGAGTCTGCATCGTTCTTTTGTCCTTATGCATTTGATTCGTATGTCGTATACATGTTCCAAAAGTTCCTCGGACTCTGTACAGAACTTTTCCCAATTTTTGTACAATTTTTCCCGGCTCCCATCGGTTCATTCCGGTGTAGGATTTAATGAAAACTTCGTCGCCGACATTAAAGTTCCGCATATTTGGATTTTGATTGTGCCCGTACACTAATTTCGATGGCAACATGGAGTTGAAAACGGTTCGAATATGCCTTCCAAACATGGCTTCGGCAGGAGACTTACCGTCTGGAACATTTGGGTTCGGAGTGGTTCTGTAGGTTGTCAAAAATTTTGTGATTACCTGTCCAGTTGTCCCTTTGCCTCCCCCTTTCAGTAGTGCTCGTTTAAAGGTGTCCACAAAGCGTTCTGCCTGTCCGTTCGATTGCGGATGATAGGGCGGAGAACGAAGATGAGTTATTCCATTTGCGCTACAGAAATACTTAAACGATTCTGCAATGGATTGCGAGAAACATATCAGTAAATAAATAAATTTGGTTATTTATTCTCTGAAGAAGTGACTTACACTAAGTCACGGAACGTCAGAAAATCTAATTTTCTACTCATTGGGATATTACAAATATATTATTTATTTATAACACTCAACCCAATGCTCAATTTATTCGAAATTATCAAATCAAACCTTGGTAATGATACCTACGAGAAACATATCAGTGTTTAGGACTATCTTATTTCAATAAGATGCTTCTCTATTCAATCATAAGATATGTCTCATAAAATAGTGCATTACTGTTCAGGTTAATTTCGAATATCTTTGTACCATCAAAAATTATATCACCAAATTATTCAATTGATGAGTTGTTTTTCAAATCATGATTTCACGTACGTTTTTTCAGAAGTGTAGTGGTTTTTCATAATTTGAAAATTACTTCGACTCACTTAAGCGTCGTAACTAATCTAACAATTTCCAATGTTAAACACTTACTTATATAATGGTTAACCAATTATGCCGCTAAGTTTAATACTGACTATTTTGGGATACTAGTTGAGCAGATACTTTCTCTGCTCTTATGTAATTGGGTTCTATATCTTTTTTTAAAAAACTTTTTCTCATTAATGTCAATTAACTTTTTCATTAAAAAGGAAAAAAATTTTATTTGAAAGTGAAGTATAATACTGCACCGATATTTCACTATACACTACAGCATTTACGTGAATACCTAAGAAAAATAGGTCAAAGGTTAATTGATTCACGAGTTTAAATCACATGGTGGCCTTTAAAATGATGTGATTTTATCAAACAAAATCGAAAACTTTCGTGTATTAGAGGTTGACATGAATATTTACGAAATAGCTAGCTTATATTTTACTGAATAATACTAAAAGTTATCATTAATGAACGATATATATATATATATATATATATATATATATATATATATATATATATATATATATATATATATAATTCCAATGACGTTAATGTCTTAGAGATGGTTACTGGGTTTACCATCGCGAACAAGATTATTAGACAAGTCAAGTAGTACTAAGCATTTGCAAAATATTGAGTTATGTACTCATGAACTACCATTAATTACTCGGATAATCCAGATCATTTAGTACTTAAATTTTAAATACTAAATAATAGTATTTTACAAATAAAAGCTTGATTTAGTATTTCATGTGAAAATGTTTGGATAAGTCTTAAATAAAAAGTTATTATCAAAAGTGACAAACGACTATTCGGTCAGCCGTAAAAAGTTGCTCATCATTCGAATTTTAAGTCAAACTATTTCATGTAAGAAAACGACCAACTCAAGATTTTGCAAGGAAAATCAATTAAAGCTCAGAGAAGAATATACGGACTCAATTTCGATTTAATATCTTCAAACTCTGTTGGAACGGACTCTTAATTTATCATTCGTGATACGATTTGGTGTTCATAACTATTTTCATTCCAGTACTGTCTTGTTGTAACCGATTACAATTTTATTCATTGATCAAAGAATGAGAAAACCTGGCATTATCTGATTAACCTAATAACATGAAGTGAAATCAGTTGCGATATAATCACTTTACTGTTACACAGTCTCTGTTCAAATGAGTCTAATATTATATGTAAAGGATAGTGTTTACTTTTTCAACTTATTAAATTAGACC